GATGGATTTAAAATTTGGTCAAAAAATGTGATGGTACCCCTAAGAGCTAGAGGCCAAAACTAAAAAATAATAATTAAGACGTTACTGACAATTCTTTTTTACGTTAAACTTTTACAAAGGATTTTACATGCAAATAAAAACATCCATGTCAAATTTTCCAACTTTTTTGAAAAATTTAATATATGGCAAAAAAATGTTATGGTACCCTTCAAGTTTGAGGCCAAAACTAAAAAAATAATGATTTAGACGTTATTGACAAGTCTTTTTTACATGAAACTTTTTACAAAGGATTTTAAATGCAAATGAAAACATCCATGTAAAATATTGGATATATTTTGATGGATTTAAATTTTTGCAAAGAAATTGAGATATTACCCCTAAGAGCTCGAGTCCAAAACTAAAAAATTAATTAAGACGTTATTGACAAGTCTTTTAGACATGAAACTTTTACAAAGGATTTTATATGCAAATAGAAATATCCATGTCAAACTTTGTAACTATTTTGATGAATTTAAAATTTGGTCAAAAAATATGATGGTATCCATAGAGCTCGAGGCCAAAATTAAAAAAAATATAACTTAGACATTATTGACAAGTCTTTTTATTTGAATTTTTTCAAAAGATTTTATATGCAAATAGAAACATCTATATAAAATTTTACTACCTTTTTTTATGGATTTAAAATTTTGTCAAAAACTGTGATGGTACCCCTAAGAGCTCGAGACTAAAACTAAAAACATAATAATTAAGACGTTATTGACAAGTATTATTTATATTAAACTTTTACAAAGGATATTAGATGCAAATAGAAACATCCATATCAAATTTGGCAACTTTTTGATGAATTTAAAATTTGGCCAAAAAATGTTATGGTGCCCCTCGAGCTCGAGGCCAAAATTTAAAAATAATAATAATTTAGATATTACTGACAAGTCTTTTTGACATGAAACTTTACAAAGTATTTTACATGCAAATAGAAACATGCATGTCAAAGCTTGCAACTTTTTTGATGAATTTAAAATTTTTCCAAAAATTGTGATCGTACCCTTAGAGCTCGAGGTGAAAATTTAAAAAAAAAAATAACTTAGACGTTGTTGACAAATCTTTTTGACATGAAACTTGTACAAATGATTTTACATGCAAATATAAACATCCATGTCAAATTTTGCAACTTTTTTGATTGACTTAAAATTTGGTAAAAAAATGTGATGGTCCCTCTAAAAGCTAGAGGCCAAAACTAAAAAATAATAAATAAGACGTTATTGTCAATTCTTTTTTGCATTAAACTTTTACCAACAATTTACATGCAAATAAAAAAATCCATGTCAAATTTTCTAACTTTGTTGAAAAATTTAATATATGGCAAAAAATGTTATGGTACCCTTCGAGGTTGAGGCCAAAACTAAAAATAATAATGATTTAGATGTTATTGACAAGTATTTTTTACATGAAACTTGTACAAAGGATTTTACATGCAAATGGAAACATCTATGTAAAATATTGGATATTGTTTTGATGGATTTAAATTTTTGCAAAAAATTTGAGATATTACTCCTAAGAGCTCGAGGCCAAAACTAAAAAAAAATTAAGACGTTATTGACAAGTCTTTTTGACATGAAACTTTAACAAAGGATTTTATATGCAAATAGAAATATCCATGTCAAACTTTGTAACTTTTTTGATGAATTTAAAATTTGGTCAAAAATATATGATGGTATCCATAGAACTCGAGGCCAAAATTAAAAAAATTATAATTTATACATTATTGACAAGTCTTTTAATTTTAACTTTTACAAAGTATTTTATATGCAAACTAGTATCACACCCGTGCGTTGCACGAGTCATTTTTATGTTATTAAATTCAAATCATTTTTCAATGATAAAAATGAGATGTGATAGAATATAGAGATTATGCTATTTTACGGTAAAAAACATCACTGCTTTACAAATTTCAAAAGACTTCTTAATAGACTACATTATTGTACAATTTGTGTGAATATTTATAGTAGTATATTTAATTGTAATATGCTATAGGCTATTATAATTATAATTATAATTATATTAAGAAGGATTAACTTTTTTCGAAATTGGGTGTATAATTATTCTTTCCATAATTATTTTTTTTCGAAATTGGGTGTACAATTATATAACTTACCTTTTTTTAATTATTTCCAATTTCCAAAAACTTATGCTTTGCATTTGTATAACTTACCTTTATTAAAAACTTACACTCTGGATTTGTATAACTTACCTTTTTTAATACGTTAATTATTATAAAGATAATAATTATATTAACTTTAATAAAGGTAATTATTATAAAGATAATATTCCCGCCAAGGCAGGTTTTTGTTTCTACATGAAGAAAATCCTGAGCTGCAGACCACTATTTGCAGGAATGGATACCAGTAAGGAGTATCAGATTCACAAAGGCTATGAATGGCTTATGGAGGAGGGCAACCAAATGCAAGGATACCAAATGATCTGGAACAAGTTAACTACCCCGAAACATCAGTTCTTTCTTTGGTTGGGATGGAGAAACAGAATACCCACTAAAACAAGACTCAGCAGGTTTATGCCTATTGATCTAACCTGCCCGTTGTGTCTACAGCAAAACGAAGACAAGCAACATATCTTTTATGAGTGCAAATATACAAAAGAGGTCCAAGAAGAGATAGGAAGCTGGATAAGATATCAATGGAGAGCAGCTAATGATGAAGCAATGTTAGATGAGATGATGAAGATCAAAGGAAGGAGTAGGCAGATTGTAATTGCAGCTTTTGCAGCAACTTGTTATGCTGTGTGGAGAGTGAGGAATCGATTGATCAAATTACAGGAAGATACCCCTCCAATTGAGTGTTGCCACTGGATTAAAGATCAACTGAAACACTTCATAAACTATAAACTAAGAAAGATTATCCTAATGTAGTTTATATATTTATTCTGGTGACCCATGTATGGGTCTGTTTTGTTAGAGTTATTCTGTGATGTACTTGTGATGGAGGCTAATGGTTCAATAAATTGTGCTTTTGTTCAAAAAAAGTAATTATATTAACTTTCGATGGCTTATCATTTTATATTACTCACGTTAATTATTATAAAAATAATTATTTAACTTCCAATGGTTAAAAATGACAGTTACTTATTCTTACCATAATTTCAGACGTTTCCAATCAGTAGTCAAAACTCAAAATAACGTTGGTTAATTATTAGCATATAATACATTGATTCCAATTTTATTAAAAACTTATGCTCTGCAATTTTATAACTTACTTTTTTTAATTATTTCTAATTTTCAATACATTAACTATTATATGTGTAATAATTATATTAACGTCACGCGTACCATTTTATATTATTCACGTTAATTATTATAAAAATGATAGCTATATTAACTTCTCACTTACAATACGTTAATTAATTATTATAAAAATAATATCTATTATTATATTTATACCTTTTTTAATACATTATTTATTCTATTTATACCTTCTAAAATAATTATAACTTCACAATTTCGGCCACTTACCATTTTAACTTTGCAATTATTAACTTACCTTTCAGCCATTTTATAATTATTATAAATATAATAATTATTATTAAAATTTCGGCCACTTACCATTTTAACTTCACAACTATTAACTTACCTTTCGACCATTTTATAATTATAATAAATATAATAATTATAATAATTATTACTATAATTTCGGACACTGCAATTATTAGCTTACCTTTCGGCCATTTTAACTTACCTTTCTTTAATTATTATAAATATAATAAGTATTAATATAATTTCGGCCACTTACTGTTGGGGACTTGTCGTATGATCCAAAACAAATTAAAAATTTATAAAATATCCTTAACTAACCCCCAATATATAATCAAATAAAAACTATAGCTAGGGCAAGTAAGGGTCGATCCCACGGAGAAAGTTTGTACTTTTAAAATCAAAATAGCATGCAAACACGTTGTCACGAAATAAAATAAAAAAAACTACTACATATATGATAAGACGTATAAAACTTATAAAAAAACTTATAACTACATAAATATAAAAACTTATCAATATAACTTATAAACGAAGAACTATAATATAACTATAAACATAAAACACTAAGGGGGGGTTTGAATAAAAAGAGTAAATATATTTTTTTGGTTTTTTTGATAAAACGGGGGAAAACAAGCTCAAAAGATAATCAACTTCTCCAACTAAGGTAACCCAAGAAACACCGCCAAAAACCTGAAACAAAATTAAAAAGAGAATGAACACAAAACGAACATTACACGTATAATAGGCACGTAGACAATATATTACGTAACTTACGCACTTAAAAATAGAAAAGAATTCAAAGGCTCGAGTTGATTCATATCCTTGACCACATATAGAGGATCGTCAACTTTCTATAAGGCCCGGAGTCAAGAATTCAAAGGCCTTTTGGTTACTTTAAACCCCTACTCACCTCAAGCGCTCAAACAATGATTCCAAAAGATGAAAAAGTTTATAAAAGAGCGAATCTTTCTTTCATTCTAACTCCAATGCACAAAGTATTCATGAAGAACATTTGATACACTTTAATAAACTTTAACGTCTAATGATGAAAATATTTTGCAGGTCTCCTTGAACAACTTAAGCATAAGAATTTTAATCTATTCACATAAAAGAACATTACATATTTTCATTAAATCAAGAGTTGTTTATTGCGCTTAAACAATCCCAATTTTTATGAAAATAACAAACAAGAACACCGAGACATAAACAATCACTTTATAACGAATCTTAAGGAAAACGTTCAACTTATGTGGCTAAGAAGTTCATTTACCTTAAAATTTTACAAAACACAAGTCACAAAAAAGATTCACGTATGAATTCGAGAATCATTTAACTAAAATATGGAGCTAAATTAGCTTCAATGATAACCGAATTCGACATACCAACCTACTTATGAAATCAAATTTATAATTCAACCAATTTAACATTAATTTGCGCAAAAATTGAAGAAACTAGTAAGAATCAATTTTCATTCATAAGGGATTTAATATAAACATTAAAAAAACCATAAAAGAACACCAACCATTTTGGAATTTTTAAAACTAACACAAACAAACAAGCAAAAATGTAAAAATGAATTCAAACAACACTTTTACAAGAATTGGAAAAATTGAAGAAATAACATATAGGGTTACCAATTATTGAAGAAGATGAAATTGAAGAATTGGAGCTTGTTGATGACTGCCCACCCTCGACCACAGCCGTCGCCGGAGCTACTGCCGCCGCCGCCATAGTCGAACGCTGGCGAGCCATAGTAGCGGCCAAGCCGCTGCTTTATTTCCGTGTGGTTTTTTCCCTTTTTCATCTTGTGAAGCTTCAATTTATAGAATGGAGAGCCAAATTCTTCTGTTGGAGCATTGATTTTGGCGAACATTGGAGAAGAGCCCTTGGGGGCTTGATCGTCGCCGTTACTCTTAGAAGAAGAAGGAGATGGAGCGCATTTTTTTCCTTTCTTCGTTGACTTAGAATGAGGGAGGCTGTATTTGTTGATGGGTTTGGGCTTTGGGCCAAATTCAATCTCTTCTTTTCAAACTTGAACTGCATTTTTGGCCTTCTTCTATATTTTTCTTCAAAAAAAATAAGATATCTAATAATTTTGGGTGAGGGAAAATAAAATAAAATAATAAAATGTAAAAAATGATTTAAAACTATTATTTATGAAAGAAAAATAAAAGATTGTAAAAATGAGAATTAAAATAAAAGTGAGCAAAACAACTAAAAACTAAACTCTAAAAGTTTTTAAAATACCTTAAAAAGAATAAAAATAACTCACCCAAACTCGATTTATCACTTACCATTTTAACTTCATAATTGTCATTTGTAATTATCATACTCTTTGGGCGGGAAAACCATATGTTGACTCCATGTCTTTTTAAATAAAGTATGGATAGAAACATCTATGTAAAATTTTACAAATTTTTTGATGAATTTAAAATTTTGCCAAAAATTATGATGGTACCCCTAAAAGCTCGAGGCCAAAACTAAAAATATATTACTCCCTCCGTCCTAAAATTATTTTCCCATTTTGACTTTTGCAGTCAAAGTTTTTAAACTTTGACTGCATATTACGAAAAAAATATATTGATTTTTCATATAAATTTAGTATCAATAGATTCATTTTGAAACATAATTTTGAAATATATTATTTTGATAATATATATTCATATAAAAATGGAGATATTAATGGTCAAAGTGCCGCATTGGAGACCGTGATAAGTCAAATGAGAAGTTAATTTTAGGACGGAGGGAGTAATTAAGATGTTATTGACAATTCTCTTCTTTTTAACACTAAACTCTAACAAATGATTTTATATTCATATAGAAACATCCATGTCAAATTTGGAACCTTTTTTTGAATGATTTAAAAACTGGCCAAAAAATGTGATGGTACCTCTAGAGCTTGAGTCCAAAATTAAAAAAATAATAATTTAGACATTATTGACAAGTCTTTTTTACATGCAAATCTTACAAAGTATTTTACATGCAAATAGAAACATGCATGTCAAAGTTTGCTACTTTTTTGAGGAATTTAAAATTTTGCCAAAAAATGTGATCGTACCTATAGAGCTCGAGGCAAAAATTAAAAAAAATAATTTAGACGTTGTTGACGAATCTTTTTGACATAAAACTTTTACAAAGGATTTAAATGCAAATAGAAACATCCATGTCAAATTTTGCAACTTTTTTTATGGATTTAAAATTTGGTAAAAAAAATGTGATGGTCCCCCTAAAAGCTAGAGGTCAAAACTAAAAAATAATAATTAAGACGTTATTGTCAATTCTTTTTTGCATTAAACTTTTAAAAAGAATTTACATGCAAATAAAAAAATATGTGTCAAATTTTCCAACTTTGTTGAAAAATTTAATATATGGCAAAAAAATGTTATGGTACCCTTCGAGGTTGAGGCCAAAACTAAAAAAATAATGATTTAGATGTTATTGATAAGTCTTTTTTACATGAAAATTTTACAAAGGATTTTACATGCAAATGAAAACATTCATGTAAAATATTGGATATTTTTTTGATGGATTTAAATTTTTGCCAAAAAATTGTGATATTACCCCTAAGAGCTCGAGACCAAAACTAAAAAAAATTAAGACGTTATTGACAAGTCTTTTTGACATGAAACTTTTACAAATGATTTTATATGCAAATAGAAATATCTATGTCAAACTTTGTAACTTTTTTGATGAATTTGAAATTTGGTCAAAAATATATGATGGTATCCATAGAGCTCGAGGCCAAAATTAAAAAAATTATAATTTATACATTATTGACAAGTCTTTTTATTTGAACTTTTTCAAAGTATTTTATATGCAAAAAGAAAAATCTATGTAAAAATTTTTAACTTTTTTGATGGATTTAAAATTTTGCCAAAAACTATGATGGTACCCCTAAAAGCTCGAGACCAAAACTAAAAAATAATTATTAAGACGTTATTGACAAGTATTTTTTATATTAAACTTTTAAAAAGATATTACATGCAAATAGAAACATCCATATCAAATTTGGTAACTTTTTTTATAAATTTAAAATTTGGCGAAAAAATGTTATGGTACCCATCGAGCTCGAGGCCAAAACTAAAAAAAATATTAATTTAGAAATTATTGATAAGTCTTTTTGACATGAAACTTTTACAAAGGATTTTATATGAAAATAAAAAAAAACCATGTAAAATATTGCAACTTCTTTTTATGGATTTAAAAATTTGCAAAAAAAATGTGATGTTACCCGTAAGAGCTGGAGGCCAAAACTAAAAAATAATAATTCAGACGTTATTCACAAGTTTTTTGACATTAAACTTTAAAAAGGAATTTTACATGCAAATAAAAATATCAATGGCAAACTTTGCAACTTTTTTGATAAATTTAAAATTTCACCAAAAATGTGATGGTATCTATAGAGCTCGAGGCCAAAAACTAAAAATATAATAATTACGAAATTATTGAAAAGTATTTTTGACATTAAACTTTTATAAAGGATATAACATGCAAATACAAATATCCATGTAAAATTTGGATACTTTTTTGATGAATTCGAAATTTGGCCAAATTATGTTACGTTATGGTACCCTCGAGATCAAGGCTTAAACTAAAATAATAATAATTTAGACATTATTAACAAGTCTTTTTTTACATGAAACTTTTAAAAAGGATTTTACATCCAAATAGAAACATTCATGTAAAATATTGCAACTTTTTTTGATTAATTTAAAATTTGACAAAAAATGTGATATTATCCAAAAAAAAATATTATTTAGACATTATAGGCAGGTCTTTTTGACATTAAACTTTTACAAATTAATTTAAATGCAAGTAAAAAATCCATGTCAAATTTGGTAACCTTTTTTATGAATTTAACAATTGGCCGAAATATTTGATGGTACCCCTAGAGCTCGAAGTCAAGACTAAAAAAATTATATTTAAGACGTTATTGACAAGTCTTTTTGACATGAAACTTTTACGAAGGATTTTACATGCAAATAGAAACATCCATGTCAAATTTTGCAATTTTTTGATGGATATAAAATTTGGACAAAAAATGAGATGGTACCCCTAAGAGATTGAGGCCAAAACTAAAAAAAATAATTAATAAGTTATTGACAAGTATTTTTTACATTAAACTTTTACAAAGGATATTACATGCAAATAGAAATATTCATGTCAAATTTGGCAACTTTTTTGATTAATTTAAAATTTGACCAAAAACTATTACGGTACCCCTAGAGGTCGAGGCCAAAAATAAAAATAAAAATAATTTAGACATTATTGAAGAATCTTTTTTATATAAAACTTTTTCAAAGGATTTTACATGCAAATAGAAACATCCATGTCAAATTATGGTACCCCTAAGGTCTCGAGGCCAAAACTAAAAAAATATTAATTAATATGTTATTGACAAGTCTTTTTAACAATCAACTTTAACAAATGATTTTAGATGCAAATAGAAATATCCATGTCAAATTTGGCAACTTTTTTGATGGATTTAAAAATTGGCTAAAAAATGTAATGGTACTTAGAGAGCTTGAGTCCAAATTTAAAAAAAATAATTTAAACATTATTGACAAGTCTTTTTGACATGAAACTTTTACAAATGATTTTACGTGCAAATCGAAATATCCATGTCAAACTTTGCAAGTTTTTTGATTAATTTAAAATTTGGCCAAAAAAAGTGATGGGCCTATAGAGCTCGAGGCCAAAACTAAAAAAATAATAATTTAGAAATCATTGACAAGTTTTTTTATATAAAAGTTTTAAAAAGGATTTTACATGCAAATAGAAACATTCATGTCAAAGTTTGCAACTTTTTTGATGGATTTAAAAATTGGCCAAAAATTGTGTCGATACCCCTAAGAGCTTGAGGCCAAAACTAAAAAAATATTATTTTAGACGTTATTGACAGATCTTTATAAAATTAAACTTTTAATTTTTTTTGATGCAAATAGAAATATCCATGTCAAACTTGGCAACTTTTTTGATGAATCTAAAAATTGGTCAAAAAATGTGATGGTACCCCTAGAGTTTGAGGCCAAAACTAAAAAAATAATTTAGACAGTATTGACAAGTCTTTTTGAAATGAAACCTTTACAAAGGATTTAAATGCAAATAGAAATATCCATGTCAAACTTTTTGCAATTTTTTTATTAATTTAAAATTTGGACAAAAATATTATAGTACACATAGAGATCGAGGCCAAATTTAAAAAAATAATAATTTAGACATTATTGCAAGTCTTTTTAGACATTATTGCAAGTCTTTTGATTGATTTAAAACCTGACCCAAAATTGTGATGCTACCCCTAAGAGCTCGAGTCCAAAACTAAAAAAATAATAATTAAGATGTTATATACAAGATTGACATGAAACTTTTACAAAGGATTTTACATTCAAATAGAAACAACCATGTCAAATTTCATAATGTTCTTGATGGATTTAAAATTTGACCAAAAATGAGATGGTACCCCTAAGAGCTTTATGCCAAAACTAAAAACAATTAATACATTATTAACAAGTCTTTTTTACATTAAACTTTTAGAAAGGATATTACATACAAATAGAAATATCCATGTAAAATTTGGCAACTTTTTTGATGAATTTAAAATTTGGCCAAAGTATGTTATGGTACCCTCGAGCTTGAGGCTTAAACTAAACAAAATATAAATTTAGACATTATTGACAAGTCGTTTGACATGAAACTTTTACAAAGGATTTTACATGCAAATAGAAAAATCCATGTAAAATTTTGCACCTTTTTTTGATGGATTTAAAATTTGACAAAAAAATGTGATGTTAACCCTATGAGCTCGAGGCCAAAACTAAAAGTCTTTTTTACAATAAACTTTTACAAAGAATTTGACGTGCAAATACAAAGTCTTCTTGAAATCCCCAACCAATGCCAGAAGTGATACCAGCATAGCCTGGAACTCCAAATGTTACACTGCTTGTAAATTCTTTCTTGGGTATTGTCAAAGAACCTACACCAACTGTTGCTCCACCAAGCTCCTGCAATGGTGTTTTCTTCCTCATCCCAAGTTCAGGTGAAACATGTGAGGTAGTCGATGTGGCCTCATCTCCAGCCCAGTCACTACATGGCCAGTCAGCCTTTGCCCATAGATAATCCGATTTATCAACATATGACAGTCGATCCTCCCAATTAAAGAATATTATGCCCTGTATTAATACGAAAACCAATTGTAATAAAAATCTTCAGGAGTTAAATAGCTTGTCCTCAGACTTGAAACCTTCCCATTAGATAACATAAAAGCTCACCACCCAAAATACTGCAAAGCTCACAACCAAAATAATTTCTCAAAGCTGTTTGTATTCATTTTTGCAGTGTATTATAGAGGACATGCAGTTTCTCAAACTCAATGAGAGAGGACATGACCATAGATAGTAAAGTGGTAGGGTAGGCCTAGATATCAGCGGTTCATTGTGTATTATCATTTGAGATGTTTGTTTGGTGGCCCTTTTGTTTGTTGTTTCAACAACCTCTCAATCTATCTAGGTAGGGATAAGGTCTGCAACCCCTACTTGTGGGATTTTACTAGATATGTTGTATTTTCAGTAGTCTTTACTGAGCTGTGTACTTAAAAAAAATTAGTTTCTTTAAATTTTTTAGAACTGTTTGGGCGGCGAGTTTTGCAGTATTGGGTTGTGAGCTGTGTACTATGGGTGGTGATATTTGCAGTAATAAGTGGTGAGCTTAGTGTCAGTTTAAAATTTTCAAAACTGTTTGGGTCATGATTCGTGAGCTTTGTGGGGGTTTGTCATCAATGGAGTATTATGCTTCAATTAAGTGAGTGTTTACGAATTCCAGACAATCTCACCTTCTGATTGCTAGCAAGAGCAGTTTGACATCGATCAACAGAGTTAATGCACAGAGCCTGCAAAATACAGGACATTTGAGATAACAGCAACAATAACAACCCAGCTGAACCCCACAGGATATTTGAGATTATCATTTAAAAACAGAATACCGAGACTTATGTAAAAATTGTAATCAGTTTCTGGGAGAAAAATATTGTTTATGATGAAGAGGCACCTCCAAGAGTTCTCCATTTCTTCTACATATTTCTTTAGGATTATTGAAAGGCAAAATCTTTTCTCGGTGATCTGGATATTTTCCACCCGAATTTAAAAAGGGGTGATCATTAGGAGATAGGCATGCAAGAGGAGATCCAGCAGCACTACTAGGACTGTCACGCCTATCTTCTTTCTCAAGAGCTTCATCAGCTTCGCACTCCCTTATAATATCTGGATACACATCATGCCACTCATTCAAGGACTTCTGCGTAAAAAACTTCAATAAATTTCCATGCTCTTGTAAAAAGTCTCCCTTAACTTTCAAAAGCTCAGTGCAGAGAGTCCAAAACATCTTTGGAGATGATAACTCATCTTCATTTGACATAATATCCACACTGTCAATTATATGATCCGAATTCTTAGCAAGATATTTATATTCATGGCTCAAATGAACACTTCTTGATACTCCTTCCAGCATTAATGATGCTAATTGTTTTTCACAGTAAGCAGATATATGTCCACAAGTTTCCTTCAACAATCTTGGAAGTATTGAAAGCATATCAACCTGGAAGGTACCTTCGAGGATGGATGAAGACAATGGTTTTTGGGGATCAAATATACAACCTCTAGGTTCAGGATGTATGATTCGTAGCTGATTTTCCAGAATATTAGATACAGTTCCCCACAAAGAAAGACCCATGGTTTGCCATCTCTTTTCATTTGGAACCGATAACAATAGATCTACAACCTCTTTAGGTAATTTACCATCATTAATATGAAGAGATGCTGCATCAACAGATGGAGTGTCATAAGTCATAGTTTTAGAATTCTGGATAAGGGTTTCCAGGAGATCCTCTATATTGATCTCATGAGAAGCATATATTAGGTACGTGTAGTCATGCTATTAGGGCATACAGCTTTGTCAAAAGGGTAGCGGAAACCCGGGTGGGACTAGGAGGGTTACTACAAGTGCTGTGATGAGATCTGTCTTTCGGCTTGGTCGTCGTCACACCACTCGCTGATGCGGATCTTTGGCTAGCATTGAATACGAATAAGCTCTTCTTTAATCTGGGCTTTGGTCTTCTTTGACCCGGGAATAGCTTTCTGGTAGGGTTAAATCCATCATCACATGCAACTATGAGAGGCGTCAAAATCATAGTAAGACCCCTTAAATTCCTTTGAACCCAAAATGAGGAAAAATATAAGAATATCTCACATAAATTGAGGACAGTGATATGATTTCTGGAAAAGGCATACTTTAAGGAAAGAGTAAACAGCACCATCATTTCTCTAAGCCACCACAATGACCAAATGAAACTCCACTTGTAAAACTCCAAAGGTTTAATCAAACCAAATCCATGTGTGCTAGCCACATCATCTCTCCCTGCATATGATTCTGGATAGAAATAACTCATGCCACACACAATGATGAACCTAGAAAGTGCATGTGGTACTTCCTCAGCGGCCTTCAGAAGTCGTTTGCGAAGAGGAGCATCCTGGAAGCAAATACCAAATCTTTCTTGCTCATCTGAAGTATATTTGCTATTATAGTTTTGTAACAGACTATATCCAATGCAATCCAAACTGTTGTTGCTGAGAGACAAAAATATCTGTATAAAAAATTGCATGAGAAAATTTAATTAGTTGCAAAAAAATTAAGGGGAAGGTTCCCATGACATTGGTTCCCAATGTCATGGGAACCAAGGTGAAAAATTAATTGATAGATAAAGACAAGATCAGTGGCAAGTGGCAACTATACTATGTTCATAAGATCAATAGAATTCATAGAGAACTTCTGCTGAAAGCATAAAACTGTTTTCATTAATTCGCCCTGGAACGTATCAAGTAATCTATTGCAGTCATGATACTCAGGATCAGTGTAAGTATATGCTTGAAGATGTCTTGTATTGACGTCCACCCAGCATGGATGTTTTTTCAACAACTCTGACATGTACTGCATAGCAAAATCTAGTCTTGAATGTGATCGCACATCAAAAGCTACATTGTCAGATATCCAGTTTGACATACTCTTATTTAATAACAATTCCAGAAGTCCGACATTTAGAGGTTCAGAGTCTGCATTGTGTGGTATGCTTCCTAGAGTCGAACTGCCAAAGATGTTGAGTGAAGAAGAAAGGCACTCCAAAGCTTCAAGCTATTATGGAAAAAGTACAAAGGCATTAAATAATTGGAAATCAAGACTCCCATTGGCATCTTGAAAGAATAAGCTTCAAAGGAAAAAACAAACAAAACAAAATTTCACATAGAGACAACCAACAAGATATTCGATTGTATTCAGAAGTAAGACATTATTTATTCTGAATTTCACCAAACAGAAAAACAACTTTTTTAGTACTATTGACTTTATTAAAATGTAGTATCTATCCGTTCATACTTTATCAACCTACTCAAGCAGCACAAACACCCCTGTTGGGGTTTGAACCTGTGACCTCTCATTGGAAGAGTCACAGTTATGCCGCTTGACTACAAGGTTTTTGGCCAAAACACAATTAAGCAATAGAACATAAATTTATAACCCAAAACCTTGTGAGAAGAAAAAAAGAAAGAACATAACACTTTTTGTGTGGTAACCTAATTGGATTCATTGTGTTCTTTAGCATTTATATAAGACAGCCAACACAACTCTTACAAACCCATACATTTCTTACAAACCAACACATCTATTACAAACCAAGACACCTATTTATATTAGAAACTACCTGTAACAGCTTTTAGAAACTACCCAACTGCTTTTAAAAAAATAAATTAAATATGTAAAACACACTAACCAACTCCTAATAATAACCGGCTCCATACTGACCACACATTGACCCACTACCCATATGGTTGCATGTAAACAAACACATTTAAATCTAACAAGCCTTAGTAGGTTAGGTCAAGCAAGTTGGAAATAAAACATATTTTGCCTACTCTACACCCAACTAGAAACAGTGACATGGTAAAGTAATCAGTGAATATTTTACATTTCACTTGACGACCTGGGTGACACTTTGTCAGATCCATTACAGCAACTATCTCTGTTAATTTGTTCGAAAATAATGGATTGACGCTTACAATCCTTCAAAAATAACAGCCTGCTATAGAGAGAAAAATACTCCTCATGAACAACCACAACTGTGGATTTTGGCCCCCAAATGAAGTCATGAATGATGGCTTTAGTGTGAGATTCAGCAATACAGACCCAGATGCTTCCCTCTAAATACTTATCCAGCTTCAGAATAAAATGGCCACCGCAACGTCTTTGAGCATATACCTGCAACCTATTACTTGTACAAACACCCAGTAACAAGTGACCATTTCCTATTGTCAGCCAAATTAGTGCAACCACTTCTGCATCACGACACAAAGTATCTTCAAGGATGAAGGTACCTTCATTCACGAGGTGCACACATTCCCATATTTGAAGATTACTAGTAGTTGCTTTATCAACTTTGGAGATTGTTGCAATCTTCCTACCACAAGAGCTTGAAGATATTGCGAGAACCGGACCACAATGAGTACAAAGCATGCCAACAAGATCCCACTGTGAATCCAAGCTTTTACGAAGCATGCTTCTCCAGAATTTTAAACTTCCATCACTGCAACCAGTGATCATGTGATAAGTAAAGGGGGTGCTAGACTTCTCATTAACAGAATCCTGTGTCATGCTCAAAACATTACTAGTTGGACAATGTACTGCAAAGCCAGACACTAGTTCGTGGTTGTATGGAGCAGGGAATCGTGATGAGCAAGGTTCAACAGAGACGCAGTATCTCTTACCGCTACAACTACTTTTGAATCCGCACATACTATTTTCAACATTACTTGGCATCCCAAAATTGCAGTTGCAAGACATTCTTGAAGAATCATAATGATGTAAGCTAATTTTCCATGAAAGAGCCTGTGTGGCACCCTTCCACATGGATAATAGTAAGAAATTATTATAAACGGACATTCCATTGTCAGTAGAAGGCAAAGAAATTGAGCAGACAGTATTTGGACCCTCTTCATGGCCTTCATTCAAAAGAGGGACAGTGCATATGTTATGACACATTAATTTCTTTTCTGCATTTCTTGAGGTGACAATACAGATATCTACACCATCACAATGCCCAACAAAAAGGACACATTCTTCATCTGAGATTGCAGGACCCCAATTCAAGCAAGAGAACCCTAAACCCTAAAACCCTAAAACCCTAAACCCTAAACCCACCCTAAATTATTTTGACATTAAACCCTAAACCCATGCCTCTCTCTCTCTCTAGCCGAAACTCGCCCTTTTGGGCGATTTCGTTTTTCCGGCCACCATGGCCGGCGGCAGGCCGGGCACACCCTCCCATCATCTTCCTGATGTCAAGGCGATCACAAAGCACCCAAACCTCACCGGAAACAGTGCTGGAATTCGGCGGGTCAAAGATGGCGGCTCTCCCACGACAGCGCAGTTTTTTCCGGCCACTACAGTCAACGATGATGCTCCAAAACACTTCCAACAGATTCCTGACATCAATACGAAGCATATTTTTATTATGTTCTCCAACTCCCACGACTGCACAAATATTTTACTTGAAGGCACAATTATTTTCAATGGGTTACATCCTATGTGTTTATTCCGATGGACACCTGATTTTGACCCAGAGTTTGAGACCTCATGTCACCTGTTTGGATTTCCTTCTATGCTCTCCCTCTGCATATGTTCAATTTTCATGCATTGTCCTTGATCTGTAAACTCATTGGAAAGTTGTTGGGCGTGGATAGCGTCACCTTAGCCAAGGCAAAGCCACATGTGGCTCGGGTCTGTGTAGAAATGGATTTGCTTAAGCCTCGGCCTAAGGAAATATTTGTGGGCACTTCGGAAGTTGTGGGTGAAGAGGATTGTGGTTTTGTTCAGCCGGTAGCGGATGAGAAGGTTCCATATTATTGTGATTACTGCTGGCGGCAAGGCCATTCTCTGGACAAATGCAAGCTACAGGATTTTGAACCCCAAAACCCGAAGCCCAACCCATTTCCTAAATCTAATTTTCCCAAGCCCAAAGCATCATTACCCACCCAAACTTATGTACCAAAAGCCCAAAAACCTAACACCCAAATTCCCTCCCCAAACCCAAATCCTCCGGCCCAAAACCCTCCTGCCCCACTTCCGAATCCACAACCC